TCGGCCCCGCCCCGCGCGCCCGTCACTCAAGCCGTCCGGGGCTCCGAGAGCCTCGCGGATCCGCGACCCGGCGCTCCGCTCGCCCTCATTGGCCAGCAGAACTTTCGGCCCCGCCCTCTCCCGAAAGACTGAGTCGCCGGGGAGACCAGCGCCCCGGTTCCCATGGCAACCGGCGCCTTGGGCCTGGCTTTTCGCCTTCTTCTGGCTAGCGGGGCGCTCCGGTTGGTGGCCGGGCTGTTGTGTTCCTAACTTCTGCTGCTGTGGCTGCTCCGAGTTTTAGGCTGTGCTCCAGCTGCAGCGACTGTCCCCACACTTCCAACTTCAGAAGTAGAACGTTTATGGCCCTGGGGAGTGCGGGGGAGAGTGGAAACTACTCAACTGCTGGCTCTGTCCTCCTCAGTCTCCTGAACTCTTCCTTCCCTCCTCTGTCCTCCACCTCCTGGCAGGATTCTCGCGTGGTGGATTGGGGCTTGGAGAGGCTGTATAGCAACTTAGAGATGGCAACGTCAACGAAAACAGTTCGATACATTGGCCCCTTCGTGTAGCGTCCTAGGTGAACCTGAGCAGTTGTAAAATGATCTTCCTCAACCCCAAATGTACCCGCAGGGAAATTCCAATACTGATAGTGTAGGGAGGAACGTCTGTAAATTCTTGTTTTATTTTAGGCAGAAAACTTCTTTAAAAAAATATTACAAGCTATAGCATAATCAAATTTAAAAACTTCTGTTTTCCTATAGAGGACTACACAGTACTAGCTTTGCAAATGTATGTCCCAGGACCTAGGAGCTGTTCCAATCCTGCAAAAAGAGAGTGGCAGAGAGGAGAGATTCAATAATTAACAAAACAAGCTTGCTAACAAAAATATTTTTATCATTTGGGTTTCAAAAATTTGAACTGCTTCTCAAACGTATAAGGTAGCTTGACCCACCCTCAGAAAGTAGTGTAGGGTAAATATAGGCTTGGACCTTTGGTGGGTCTAAATGTCATGTTTGGTTCTAAGATGGAGTGGCCTGGCTTCCCTGAAAACCTTAAAGCTGCAATCCTAGATTCCCTGAGCCCCTGAGGCTGGGTCCGTGTGTGATGAATGAGGGAATTCATTGTAATGATTTACCTTTGGCGGACACTGGATTATCTCATTTACTAAACGAATAACTGTAATGGATGTCTTCCATCAAATATGCCTTGCAAGTATTCATTGAATGTGATTGCTTACAATGCTAAACAAAATGGGGAAATTCAGAATTCTCAAAGAAGGTCTCAGCCCTTTGAGCCCATGGAGCCTAAGAAAGATAAATAGGGCCAGGGGGGATTTAAGCACGAGTTTAAACATGTGAAACTGTTCAATACAGATTAGTAAATAAACACAAGTAAATCCGTGCTTACCTTGCTTAAAGGGTACTCTGTTCCTGTCAGGGATTATGAATTTGAAAAGAGGCTTTAATTCTGTAGGAGGGTGCTGTAGGGTTGGAAGAGAGACAGAAGCCAGCCCTATCTAGTAGCAGAATCTTTGATGTGGTGAAAAATATGTGAAATTGTTCCCTACAGATTAAAAGTAAACACAAGTAAGCCTGTGCTTACCTTGCTTATTGGGTAACCTGACACTAAGAGGACTCTTGAAACAAGTAGAGAACACTTAGAGCTAGAATGTGCAGGCCGCTGAGTACAGTAACACATCCGAGAAAACCGGGTATGTAGAATGGACTCGATTCATCAACGCATGGAAGGAAGAAATGTAAACTGGCTGTGAAGGAGCTGCAGTGGGGTGGATGAAGCCAAAGTAAAGATGTTTGAAGGAATAACACCAATGAGAAGGCCGCTCGCCCTTCCCCATTTTCTGAAAGAGGAGTTTCTCAATGTTCTGGTTCATTATATCCGGGAAGTGGGGCCGAACTGAGAGAACAAAAGCCTTGGACAAACCAACTAAGCAACAAAAAGAAAAGTATTGGGGGCTTGATTACTAATTTAAGAAGGTTACATGGAAAGGTGATAATTTGAAATGAAATGCCTAATGGACAAATTAAAAATTGTTTTTTTTTTTAAAGTAAGCAAATCACAGCATTGTGAGAATCTCTCTCTCTCTCTGTCTCTGGTGTATATTCTCTGTTTTGTATAAGCTAAGGGTTTTAAAAACAATGACAGTGATATCAAACTTCATAAGGAGTACAGAAAAAGGGAATCTAAC